AAACAAGTATCAACCCTGCGGTGCATAAGAGAAACTGAAGATTTCCTGGACAGACATCAGGATATGCTTCTATGGACAAAACATTCTGAAGATTCAGAGCAGGCTGCGCAGCAGGGACAGAAGGATGGTGAAGAAATTTGGCAGCATGTGACCTCCAGAAGAAGAAATGGGAGCGTCCATTGCAGATACAGGTAAGCAACCATTTGCATGTTGTCTCCACAGGTACTAATGCAGAGAGTGGACTAGATGATACATCTGAGGGAAGGGAACAGAAGGAGACTCCGCTGATTGGAAGGCATGAGATGCACTGCCCTAGGGATGGGGGTTCCACATCCACCGCTCCCAAGAGAAGCTTCCCAAAAAAGAAGCTTACAAGAAGTGGAAGATTGGACAAATGACCAGGGAGGATTATAAAAATATTGCTCAGGCATGCAGGAGTGAAATCAGGAAAGCCAAATAACACTTGGAGTTGATGCTAGCAAGAGATGTTAAGAATAACAAGAAGGGTTTTTTGAGGTATGTTAGCAACAAGAAGAAGTCAAGGAAAGTGTGGGCCCCTTACTGAATGAGGGAGGCAACCTAGTGACAGAGGATGTGGAAAAAGCTAATGTACTCAATGCTTTTTTTACCTCTGTCTTCATGAACAAGGTCAGCTCTCAGACGAGTGCACTGGGCAGCATAGCATGGGGAGGAGGTGCCCAGCCCTCTGTGGAGAAAGAAGTGGTTCGGGACTATTTAGAAAAGCTGGATGAGTACAAATCCATGGGGCCGATGCGCTGCATCCGAGAGTGCTAAAGGAGTTGGCGGATGTGATTGCAGAGACATTGGCCATTATTTCTGAAAACTCATGGCGATCAGGCGAGGTCCCAGATGACTGGAAAAAGGCTAATGTAGTGCCCATCTTTAAAAAAGGGAAGAAGGAGGATCCTGGGAACTACAGGCCAGTCAGCCTCACCTCAGTCCCTGGAAAAATCATGGAGCAGGTCCTCAAGGAATCAATTCTGAAGCACTTAGAGGAGAGGGAAGTGATCAGGAGCAGACAGCAGGGATTCACCAAGGGCAAGTCATGCCTGACTAATCTAATTGCCTTCTATGACGAGATAACTGGCTCTGTGGATGAGGGGAAAGCAGTGGCCGTGTTATTCCTTGACTTTAGCAAAGCTTTTGACACGGTCTCCCACAGTATTCTTGTCAGCAAGTTAAAGAAGTATAGGCTGGATGAACGGACTATAAGGTGGATAGAAAGCAGGCTAGATCATTGGGCTCAACGGGTAGTGATCAATGGCTTCATGTCCAGTTCGCAGCCAGTATCAAGCGGAGTGCCCCAAGGGTCGGTCCTGGGGCCGGTTTTGTTCAATATCTTCATTAATGATCTGGAGGATGGTGTGGATTGCACCCTCAGCAAGTTTGCAGATGACAATAAACTGGGAGGAGTGGTAGATACGCTGGAGGGTAGGGATAGGATACAGAGGGACCTAGACAAATTGGAGGATTGGGCCAAAAGAAATCTGATGAGGTTCAACAAGGACAAGTGCAGAGTCCTGCACGTAGGACGGAAGAATCCAATGCACCGCTACAGACTAGGGACCGAATGGCTAGGCAGCAGTTCTGCAGAAAAGGACCTAGGGGTTACAGTGGATGAGAAGCTGGATATGAGTCAACAGTGTGTCCTTGTTGCCAAGAAGGCCAATGGCAATTTGGGCTGCATAAGTAGGGGCATTGCCAGCAGATCGAGGGACGTGATTGTTCCCCTCTATTCGACATTGGTGAGGCCTCATCTGGAGTATTGTGTCCAGTTTTGGGCCCCACACTACAAGAAGGATGTGGAAAAATTGGAAAGCGTCCAGTGGAGGGCAACAAAAAATGTTAGGGTACTGGAACACATAACTTATGAGGAGAGGCTGAGGGAACTGGGATTGTTTAGTCTGCGGAACAGAAGAATGAGGGGGGATTTGCTAGCTGCTTTCAACTACCGGAAAGGGGGTTCCAAAGAGGATGGATCTAGACTGTTCTCAGTGGTAGCAGATGACGGAACGAGGAGTAATGGTCTCAAGTTGCAGTGTTGGAGGTTTAGGTTGGATATTAGGAAAAACTTTTTTTTCACTAGGAGGGTGGTGAAGCACTGGAATGGGTTACCTAGGGAGGTGGTGGAATCTCCTTCCTTTTGAGGTTTTTAAGATCAGGCTTGACAAAGCCCTGGCTGGGATGATTTAGTTGGGGATTGGTCCTGCTTTGAGCAGGGGGTTGGACTAGATGACCTCCTGAGGTCCCTTCCAACCCTGATATTCTATGATTCTGTGATTCAAAAGTGTGAGCAAGGGTTGTATAATTTATCCCTTTGCCTTTAGGCATAGCTGACATGGAGACCACTCATCACCAGACTCTCTTAACCTGGGATTGCAATGATTCATCGTGCTACACTGCATACAGACTACTGAACAAACTATTAAATATGCAGAATAATGCACATTTACATCACTGAAAGATCTGGGAAACTATACAGTACACTGGCTATGTCTCTCCTGCCATAGCTACACTACATCAAGTCAACCAGTTTTCCCCTCATAACTCCATTTTAATGCTTGAATTATGGTAGCATTCCCAGTGGTACTCTCTTTCCATACTTTACAATCAAGTTTTCCTCCTCAGTTGATGGGACTGTACCTTTTAATACTCAAGAACAAGCAGTTTTCCACTTACACTACTGGCTACTATGAAGATTGAACAAGTGAGGTTAAGACATTAGTGTTTTGGCTAGGCACAGGGGATACCTGAGGCACCCTCCCCTGCTGCATGTAAAGCTTGGTTAATATTTGCTTGTGTTTAAGTAAAATAATTATTGCACAACCTTCAGTGTGCCTCTCTTGATTCAGTTTGCCTGATCCTACAAGAAGTCCCATCTGGAAATGTAGCTGAGCAAGAAGAGAAGAGGAGAAGTCGAATATTCTGTTAACGGCACTGAATATGTGCATGAGTAAAGAGATGGTGGGAAAGAAATAGAAATTCAGTAAGGAAAAGGGCAAAAGGAGGTGGGGAAATGTAAAGTGAAAACATACCCTAATCTGTGACCAAGAAATCCATTCTCCAGACTCTGCAATAGGTAATTTATCTTCTTAAGAAACTGTATTATGTAAATCGTTTTGTTGTAGACCTTTTAAATATAGGCTATTTTTATAAAGTCATTTATCCTCGGGTGTCTTGGCACTTCTTCAGATGGCCTCTGAGCCTGCACTACAAATATTGTAATCCACCAGCTCTCAATTTTTTCAGAGCGGGGACCTTATCTTCATAGAGGGAATTTCTTATGCTCTACCTCCTCTCCATACCCAATCTGACAGAGAACCACCTCTTCCATTCAAGTGGTGCAGTCCCACTTCAGTCCTGTGACTGAAGAGCATCTCCATGGCAACTACAATAATTGCTTAGAAATATTATTAGAAATACAATGTAGCTTTAGCAGTATTTAATGCTAAAAAGCTGAAAAGGAAAGCTAGCAACATGTAGCTCTCTACATCAGGGTCCTATGGAAGGGTCCTTAGGGAAGTTCTGTTGTAGTGTATTGCTTATCTTGGGAGTATTTTTATAGTACTTGCTTAGGACGTTTTCTCTCTTTTATTATTTTTCCTACACTTAGAAAAGATGGTGAGTTTTAACTTCTCTTAGTGCTACTATTACAGACAGTAGCTCATAGTGTTTGTGTTTTTATAAATCTGCCTAAGGAGCAATGTTGATTTTTAATAAAAGAATGAGCTGAAGCTACAAGAATAATGGGCATGCAGTGAGCCTAGAAGACATAGACCTCAAATATTTAGTATGTTTACACTTATAATCCTCTTAGAAATAAAATGTCCATCCTTGTTAATTTCATCCCACACCGCTTGTCTGTCTCTCTATTTCTATTTAGTTTACTTTTCAGGCAGGGTAGTAGCAAGTATGACATGGGTTTAAAGTAAGTTTATTAGATTTTTCATAATAAAGTTAGAGAGTATGAGTTGTGTAATGTCCTTTGTACCTAATATTATTTGCAAGTAGGTAAGGTGAGGGGAAGACTGTGAGGCTACAGAGATGGCTCTCCCCAAAGGAGCACATAGTTGGTATGTAGCCAATGAGTTTGTGAATTGCGATATGTGGATTCACTCAGAATATTCCCAGCAGCCCTTTTTCACTAGTGTCCCCTGAAGCCATAGACTAGCTGTCCATTTGTTCTATCACTAGAAAAGACTGTCATCTCAACACCCAAGTAGTTCACCTCTGCAGTATGTTTACTCAGTGATTTTTCTGAAGATGTGAATTTCATCCACTGTTTATAACATCCTTTTTGTTCCATTGTATTTTGTCTACTTAGCTCCATTAATGTTAAGCTTAATATAGATAATTAGAAGTATTAAATGAACACAAAATATGTAAGGTTTCAGAGTAACAGCCGTGTTAGTCTGTATTCGCAAAAAGAAAAGGAGTACTTGTGGCACCTTAGAGACTAAATAAATTGGTTAGTCTCTAAGGTGCCACAAGTACTCCTTTTCTTTTTACAAAATATGTAAGTGACTCATCCCTATGACAATTTTATGTATATCAGCGATAATTTACCATGTAAATTGGTTAAATAAAGAGACTGTGCTGTCAGGATTCTTTATATTACCCACTTCTTTTCTGTTTACTCGGCAGATGTTTGGATTTACTATTAGCATATTCTGAAACAATGGTGGGGACGGAGGAGGAAGGGAAGATTAAAACAGCTCTGTAATCCTCAGAAGAGCACAATAGCAGTTTTCAAGGCTGTGAATCTTCAGGCTTTATAAACTCAATTTGGGAAAATAATAAAGAAAAAAAATGAGTCAGATTCTTATTTATAAAAGTCTGAGGGTATAAAGGGGGCTTGAAGTTACATTAACATCCAGTTTGAGGGCCCTTAAACTACCATGCAATGTAAAGCAGCTTATGTGTGAAAGAGAATCATGCCCAGTATCTTGTCACTGAATAAAAGATGATTCCATACTCACCCTCACTCAAGGGACACGCCCACCAATGGACAAGATCTGTATTCATCATTACTTCAGGACAGCAGGATGTTAACATTCCCAAGACATTTCTTCGTACTTCTTCAACTTGCAAAGAAACTTCAGCTTTTCATCTTTGAATGAAGACGTCATCACAATACCCCCGTGCTATCAGCTTCTGGAGAATTCATTGCTTTACACATAGAGAATTGTTCTCCAACTGGTGGTTCATTCTACTGAAGATTTTGTAGGACATTACAATCACATCCTACCCAATCATCAGTATAGTGCCTATCAAATCAATTTCTCCAAATGCATCATTCTCACAGCTCAGAGAAGGATACAAATTAGCTGCACTAGATGGAACATATGTTGTAAAAAGTTAGAATGCAAATTGGCAGAAATCATGCTCATGTTAGAGGAGAAATACATATCACCATCCTTTCTGGATGAGTTCCAGAAAGTATCACTCACTGAGGCTCTGGAAAAACTGACAGAACTTAGGCCTATGAACTGCAAGCTGTCTCCTTGCATGTCAGGGTTAGTGAAAGAAAGCGGGAACATATTGGATCAATTACTGGTTAAGATTGCCAACTAGCTGCTCAGAAGAGAGTGGGATACCAAAATCCCTCAAACATATGGCCATTACTCAAAAAGCCATGTTTGGATAACCTTGTCAATCAACATTCAATCTCGAATCTTCCATTCTGGGGAAAATATTGAGAAAGCTGTAGCAGGATGGCTTAAGAACATAAGAACAGCTATGCTGGGTCAGACCAAAGGTCCATCTAGCCCAGTATCCTGTCTTCCGACAGTGGCCAATGCCAGGTACCCCAGAGGGAATGAACAGAACACGTAATCATCAAGTGATCCAACCCCATTGCCCATTCCCAGCTTTTGGCATCAGTTTCATTTGGAGTCTACAGATTTTCTTAATCCCTCTCAGTCTATCTTTTTGCTTTGGTATAGCACAGATGTGGCACTGATCTCACTGACAGATGATCTTTGTGGATTGGACAACTCTACTCTTAAAAAGGCTGCACTGCACAAGACAGATGCTACAGTAAATACACAATGCACTTAGCCAAATGATATGTTCCCATTAGAGCTGGTCAGAATTTTTTTGACACAGCAATATTTTGGGGGAAAAAATGCTACTTTTATTGAAATCTAGACATTTTCAAAATGTGTCTATTTCAATGAAATCATGTTTGGGGAAAAAAACGATGAAGCATTCTGATAATGTTGAAACATCCTGTTTTGACATTTTCAGAAGGGAACATTTTGATTTTCTATTTTCAAAACGAAATTCATTGTGGGGTTTTTATATAAAAAAACTAAGAAGTTTTTAAAAGGTCTAAATCAGCACAAATGTTCCAATTTTACTAGGGGAAAAAAACCCATTTTGATCAACCTGAAACAAAAGGTTTTCAAAAATTGTTTGGTTTTTTTCCATCTTGGAACAGAAAAAAAATTAAAGCTTGTGGAATTTCCCCAAAACAGAAAATCCAGTCGAGACCAGTTCTAGTTTCTGTTAGGTAATACAACTTATTACAGCAACTCAACAGTTACACTGACTTCCTAGTCATCATATCACTTCAAGTCTCTAACTCCTGTGTTCTGGCTGTTCTGCTACTGCAGCTGAAATCAGTGGAGGCACTTAACAGCCGTGGCATTTTTAGTGGTAAACCCTGGAGGCTGAAATTTAATCAGCTAGTTGGTCTAATAAAGCCTGTTTACTGGGCTCCAGGACATAGTGAAATGCCCATTTCTTTTTTTCTGTAGCATTTTTCCAAGGGTGGAGTGGATATGTGGGAAGCTACTTGCTGATGCTCATTTTACCCTCTGAAAGGTAGCAGATTATATATGATGGTAAGGAATAGCTTCTCAACAGTCACAGTTTTCTAGTAAATAAAGCACATGCTCCCAGAACATTGTAGAAAAGGATGTTTTACAAATGTAAAAAATGCATGCATTTTGGTAACAATGTGGGTAACATGCACTGTGTTTTTGTCATGCTTTTTCCTTATGAACCTCTAGTCTAGGGCAATTTAGAGATAATATTGCAGTAGTTATCAAAAAGGGAAATGATAGCATTGATAAAGGTTTGTAGGGGGAAAAATTAAAGCAATAAAATGTATGAAGCCAGAGTCTAATACAATTCAAGTAATAATAAACAAAACCCCTTAGTGTGAAGTACTATATATTTGTGCTACTAGGGAAAAAAATATTCACCATTCACAACAAAGTTTGATGTTCTGTTTCCAGCAGATTGTTCCAAATCTGTAATGCAATTTTAATTGAATCAAATAAATCACAAAATATTTTCCCTCTGCCTTTACAAATTCCCAGAAGGAAATACAAAAATTACAAATGATAATATATTTATTATTTGTAATTGTAATTGATATAATTTAAGACACAATCAAAATGACTGTGGTTGGGAAATAGCTCTCATATAGGCACCTTATTAAGGAAAATGAATGTACATGTCAATGATTGTCTGAACCTGGATTAGCTTTCTGGAAATAGCAGTAGTGACAAGACTGACAGTTTCCATGACAATAATGTCAATGGACCATGTAGGGCAAAAATCCTTATTTCTGAATTAATGCTAACTTTGTAAAAGATCAGTATAGATGGTGTACATTGCAAATCAGTGCTATCAAGCATGTTTTTCCTACATTCTGCTAATTGCTTGCTAACATTTATTAATTATAGGTATCTAATAAGAAGGAATTTTGTTTTTTAAAATTCTAACTCAGATTTTTAAATGATGAAACCAAAATAGCTGTTTTATATATAGCAACTAAGGTCACTGAAGAGATGTACCTGCACAGAAAATCTCAGGGGCTGGAATGGTAATAGAAATGTGACAAGTCAGTATCCAAATGCTAGCTGATACATTTTCAAGAGAATCATTAAGCTCCTCCTTGTGGACTCTTGATTTGTCAACTTTTACCATTAAAATCCATAATCAGTGGGAAACTCAGATCATGTGCTTTTACTACATGATGATGAGTGATGTAGAATTGCAATTACAATAAATAATAATATATGCACCTGTATGTCTTAAGGAAGCATTTCCTGAACTTTTGAAAGCTTGACTCCCTTTCAAGAAAATGAAGCCAGTGCCATCCCCTCTGCATGTGATTGTACATGCTCTACAAGAAAAGCAAGTTTTGATACTACTGCTGGGTTACTTATTGAAAGACTTGTTAGTGGAGCCGTAACATGAAGCAGTTAGACAGTGGGTATTCTTTGCAGAAATAACAGGTTGGTGGTTGAAGGAAATAATTCTTGTCTCTTCATACTAAAATTCTTATTGGAAGAATTCCAAAGTAAGTTATCACTGGCTGCTTCTGAAAAAATAACAAACCTGAGGCTTTGCATGAAAAGAAGTGCTTTGTTAATATGAAGAGACAACCCCTCCTGCCTAAACAGAGCAGAATCTATTGATATACTTTCCTAAACACTGAGGAACCACAGATCTGACTGTTGCCTTTTATTTTTGATTGTCGTCATGCCTCCAGTAAACCAGCCCTTCTTTCTGCTTCAACTATCATTGGGGGAAAACAGAGCAAAACTTTGATTTGAATTAAATACAAATGTAAACCTAGATCTTCATAGAAAGATGGTGTATTTGAGGTGTGCACATAGTTTAAGTCCCATTAGCACAAATAGAAAATGCAAGTATGTGAATAGGATATAGCAGAAATCAAGTGTACCCTCCTAGTTTTGTTAGTTTTAATCTGGGTGACATTTTGATACAACTTCCAGAGCTTTCCAGGTGGCTGAGATACTTTAAAGTAAGGCGATGATGTCCCAGTTTTTTATATAGTGTCCTGAGAACTTCTTTTAGATACCAGAAATGTCTGTTCAACATGTATTGCTATATCAAGTAGCATTTGCTCCATACTTACCAGGAAAAAACTGTAGTGGAATAGTAAACAGTATCTGGAGTGAAGAGAAAAACTGAACACATGTACACACTATCAAAGCTATTTTTTTTACTGTGCTATGCTCAAAGTGAACGTTAATTACACTGGTTCAGAGTTTCATGATAAACCAGTTCATTTTACTGGGGAAAAATATCTCCATTAAGACCATAAGAACGGCCATACTGGGTCAGACCAAAGGTCCATCTAGCCCAGTATCCTGTCCTCTGACAGTGGCCAATGCCAGGTGCCCCAGAGGGAATGAACAGAACAGGTAATCACCAAGCGATCCAGCCCCTGTCACCCATTCCCAGCTTCTGGCAAACAGAGCTAGAGACACCATCCCTGCCCATCCTGGCTAATAGCCATTGATGGACCTATGTTCCATGAACTTATCTAGTTCTTTTTTGAACCCTGTTATAATCTTGGCCTTCACAACATCCTCTGGCAAAGAGTTCCACAGGTTGACCGTGAGTTGTGTGAAAATATACTTCCTTTTGCTTGTTTTAAACCTGCTGCTAATTAATTTCATTTGGTGACTCCCTAGTTCTTGTGTTATGAGAAGGAGTAAATAACACTTCCTTATTTACTTTCTCCACACCAGTCATGATTTTATAGACCTCAATCATACCCCCCCCCCGGCCTTAGTCAGCTCTTCTCCAATCTGAAAAGTCCCAGTTTTATTAAACTCTCCTCATAGGGCAGCCGTTCCATACCCCTAATCATTTTTGTTGCCCTTTTCTGAACCTTTTCCAATTCCAATATATCTTTTTTTAAAATGGGGCGATCACATCTGTGCACAGTGTTCAAGATGTGGGTGTGCCATGGATTTTTATAGAGGCAATATGATATTTTCTGTCTTATTATCTATCCCTTTCTTAATGATTCCCAACATTCTGTTTGCTTTTTTGACTGCCACTGCACATTGAGTGGATGTTTTCAGAGAACTATCCACAAAGACTCCAAGATCTCTTTCTTGAGTGGTAACAGCTAGTTCAGACCCTATCATTTTGTATGTATAGTCGGGATTATGTTTTCCAATGTGAATCACTTTGCATTTATCAACATTAAACTTCATCTGCCATTTTGTTGCCCTGTCACCTAGTTTTGAGAGATCCTTTTGTAGCTCTTCACAGTCTGCCTGGGACTTAACTATCTTGAGTAGTTTTGTATCATTGGCAAATTTTGCCACCTCACTGTTTACCCCTTTTTCCAGATCATTTATGAATACATTGAGTAAAACTGTGAATTGTTGTACTTGAGTCCAAAGCTGTCAGGAGCAATGCCAGTATACATTT